CGCATATCGGATTTGATATGCAGGCAGCTCGGGCACGTCCAGTCCAATCCAGGATTTTCGCGAATGCGGTCGGTGATACGCGATCCATTTTGCCCCAGATCGGCGCATCCAATGTGGGCGATATTATCACAGAGCCAGCAGTAGACAGTGACATGCCGCGAAGAAATTTTTTGGCCGTTCTGGCACTTAGGGAAACAACACGTAGCCATTATTGGAATAAAAAAATACTTTATCCAAGTAAATTACGAATTGGATTAATTTATTTGCGCGACGAGATGGCCGATCAAAACAAATTATACAATTGTTTTTTTGAAAAAAAAATTGTTTAAGTTTCGCGGCGAACAGACCGATCAAAACAGAAAGCGAAGAGCGCACAAATAAAAGCTTTTATCTAAGCGCCAAAAAATAAGAAATTTGTGTTATTGATTTAGCTAGCGCCAACAACAAATACAAGGCGATGCAGCGATAAGCGGTAAACACAATGCACAAGAATAGGAAGGCAAGGCAATTGTAAAATCGAAATTGTTTTACGACGATAAAGTCACAGACTTTATTTACAAAGGACCGGTTGTTTATTGATTATGAAGTTCACGGAAACACCGACCACTTGCCAAAAATTTGGGTTTTGATAAATAGGATTTCACTAAGAAAACTTTGAATAAATGTAGAGCGATATAAAGCACGTCCAACTCAAAGCTTGGCGAAACGAATTGTCTAAAAAAAAAAATAATAATAAAACAAAAATATCAAAAATATTTGATATATCGATTTTTTTTTTTGATATATCAAATATCATTTTGATATTTTTTTTTTTGAAAAAAAAAAATATCATCGATACGATATTTTTAAATATTTCGACAACCCTACATGTAGCAGAGGAAACAATTCAAAAAAATATTTAACTAGGTTATTCGCCGGGTGGGCAGCTCCCGTATGATGACTCTCCTAAACCGAAGCCTCTTTCTCATTGGCTCATGATTCGTTGGTGGAACTCCATTATGAGGAAATTGGCAGCAAAGTGCGGGACGACTTTGAGGAGTTGGTGTTCTCCATGAGATCGTTGGTGCTGCAAGAGCTGGGGAAGCGCAAATTCCCAGGAGTTCCGTGTTCAACCATGCATCCAGAGGTGGCCATGGAGGCCGGTGCGCCTGCTCCAAGAAGATCGTGCCTTCCTGAGCTTAAGTTGCCAACCTTCAGCGGCGGCTACACTGAGTACGCCGATTTTATTTCGATGTTCCTGACAATTATTGATAGGAATAGTGATCTGGCTCCAATTGAGAAGCTGCAGCACCTGAAATCATGCCTGAAAGGTACAGCTTTAGATGCCGTTCGTTCGCTGGAGATCACTGACTCTAACTATGGAGTAGCTCTGGAATTACTTGACAATCGCTTCAATAATAAACGCCTTATTTTTCAGGCTCACATAACAGATATTTTTGGTTTGTCAAAGGTGGAAAGTGCATCAGCTGTGAAGCTTCGTGAGCTCTCCGACAAGATCAATGCCAATCTTCGAGCGCTTCAGAGCTTGGGTACCTTGGAGGAGATAGCTGGTTGCATTCTTGTTCATACGCTGCTGCAAAAGGTTGACCCGACTACCCAGGCTAAATGGGAAGAGTCTGCCTCGCTGGACCGAATACCCACCTGCACAGAATTTACTAAATTTCTGGAGAAGCGATGCCAGAAACTTGAAAATGTGGAGCATGCTGCTGTATCTAATGGTAGCAATTCGCAAGCGTCAAGGACCAGGAGGTTCAGCAGTCATGGGAGAAGTTCGTTCGTCGCCACCAGCATCACAGCCTCGACCAGATCGTGCGTTATGTGCCAGGGTGCAAATCATGGCATTTATAATTGCGCTCAATTCGCCAGCCTTTCTCCTCAAGCTCGTCTGCGTGAAGCTAAACGGCTAGCCTTATGCCTAAACTGCCTCAAATCTGGACATCAAATGAGGAATTGTAGTTCGGGCTCCTGTCGAGCATGTGGATCTAAACGTCATAGCCTTCTACACTTTCCCGCACCGCCTGTAACAGCGCCCCCACAACCTGCTCCACCTAACGTGCCATCTTCGTCAAATGCTGTTTCAAACTCTTCGCTCGCTTCGTCGTCATCGCAATCCGCTGCTTTGGTCGCTCAGAATCTTGATACGGATTGTGTTTTGCTTGCCACTGCAGTCATCAGTGTGCAAAATCGCTCTGGTTCGTGGGTTCCTTGCCGCGCCCTGCTCGACTCGGGATCTCAATTGCATATCATTACTTCTCGCCTCGCACACTCGCTTCAGTTGCCGAAGGTCAAATCCGCGGCCACTATATCTGGACTTCGAGACTCTAAATTTTGCTCGGATGGTTTTTCGGTAAATATTACTTTAAAGTCTCAAGCTTCAGATTTCGTCTCCAGTATCTCGGCTTTGGTTGCGCCTGCCATCACGGACGACCAGCCAAGCTTCACCGTCAGCCCAGAGGACTGGAACATACCCTCCAACATTCGAATGGCCGATCCACAGTTCTTCAGATCGCAAAGAATTGACTTATTAATTGTAGCAAGTCTATTCTTTGAGCTGTTATGTGCTGGCCAAATTAATTTGTCTGATGGGCTCCCTCTGTTGCAAAAAACCCGACTGGGATGGGTTGTCACTGGCGGAGGATCAGCGCCACGCCAGTCAGCGGCCTTGGCTGTCCAATCTATTGCAGGGACGTTAGTCGGAGATGACGCTGGTCTGGAGAGCGTTGTGCGGAAGTTTTGGGAAGTGGAAAACGTTGGAGAGTCTGGATCTGAAGCTCATTTCAACGACAGCTTTACTCGGCTGCCGTCAGGAGATACTCGGTTCGCCTGCCAACTAAGCATAGTGTTGAAATCCTGGGAGATTCATATCAACAAGCTTATCGTCGTTTCGTCAACCTGGAGAACAAACTTGATCGTCATCCTCATCTCAAAGCGCAGTACTCGGCATTTATTCGTGAGTACCTCGATCTGAATCATATGTCTCTTGTGGATTTAGACTCACGGAATTTATGCAAGTTTTATTTGCGACATCACTGCGTCATTAAAGAGGATAGCCCAACTACTAAGCTGCGTGTTGTTTTTGATGGGTCTGCCAAATCGTCGTCTGGATACTCATTGAATGAGGTGCTCATGGCAGGTCCCACCATGCAGCCGAGATTGTTCAACACACTGTTGCAGTTTCGCACATTTCCTGTCGCCCTACCCGGCGATATTTGCAAAATGTATAGATGCGTTCGGATTGCTGAGCCGGATAGCTACTTGCAATGCATTTTGTGGCGTGACTCACGGCAAGAGGAAATTCGTGTTTATAGGCTGGACACTGTCACCTATGGAACTAAACCTGCCTCGTTTCTGTCAGTTCGAGCCATGCATCAGTTGGCAGAGGATGAGAAGGCATCGTTTCCCCTTGGCGCCAAAATACTTTTGCGAGACTTCTACGTGGATGATCTCATCACAGGAGGCAACTCGACACAAGACGTCTTGGAGATCATGCGGCAGACCACTGGACTTCTCGAAAGGGGCAATTTCAAGTTGAGAAAATGGTGCTCAAACGATCCTGCGTTGCTGCAATAAATCCCAGAGGCCGAAAGGGATTCATTCTTGAAGTTCGACGATGGCAGCGACATTACAAAAACGCTTGGACTTGCTTGGGATTCGTCGTCTGACGTTTTACTGTTCTCCACATCGCCAATGAAAATTATTGCCAAACCAACCAAGCGCTCAGTCTTGTCTACGATCGCTTGCTTTTATGATCCTCTAGGTCTTATTTGTCCTGTAATTACTAAAGCCAAAATATTTTTACAGAAGATCTGGAGATAGAGACTCGACTGGGACGAAAGCTTGCCGGCAGCGCTAAATTCTTCGTGGCTAAGTTTGTCGGCCAATATTTGTGAAACGCAAAAGCTCCAGTTTCCTCGGCTAGCACTGAACGCAAACAAAGTGATCAAAGTCCACGGATTCAGTGATGCCAGTATTGACGCATACGGAGGCTGCATTTACGTCGTTTCCATGGAGGATGACCGAAGGATTGCCCATCTCCTCTGCGCTAAATCTCGTGTGGCGCCACTGAACCCTCTCACGGTCCCTAAGTTGGAGTTGTCTGCTGCCGTGCTGCTGGCTCAACTCATTCAAGAAGTACAACGAATGGGGTTATTCTCGTGCTCCTACTACTGCTGGTCGGATTCTGCAGTTGTTTTGTCCTGGATTAGAGATGAGTCGTCACGTTTTCAAATATTTACTGCTAACCGAATCTCTTTAATTCAGTCGATTACAAATGGAATGGAGTGGCGCTACGTCCCTACGAGCTGCAATCCCGCAGATATCCTATCAAAAGGTGCTCTTCCCAGTGAACTGGTAGCTTCTAACCTATGGGCTCATGGACCTGACTATCTTCGAAAGGAAAAATCTCAATGGCCAGAGTCCTGCCTTGCATTGAAGACTCTTCCTGACCTTAAAAAGATTGCTTTGGTTGGCATCTCGACAGCTGCTGATGTATCCTTGTACTGCAAATTCTTCAACTCGTGGGAAAATTCAAAGCATGTCTTCGGCTACATATACAAATTTCGCCATCGCATCAGGCAGCCAGGTCTCACTTCGGAGCATGTTCGCTGTGGCACCCAAATGCTCATCCGCTCCATCCAGATGGTTCATCTTAATGACGAATATCATTGCCTGCTTCGAGGACGGCCAATAAGGGCCTCCAGCTCCATCGCATCGCTCTCGCCCATTATCGACGAACTTGGGCTTTTACGTGTTGGCGGCCGACTCAAAAACTCTGCTCTGGACTATGAGGCACCCATCCACTGATATTACCTCGTCAGCATCCTGTAACTCGCGCAATAATCCTGCATTTTCATCGGCGCAACCTACACTCTGGACCACGCTCCCTGCTCGCTTCAATCCGGCAGCAGTTTTGGCCAATTGGTGGCCTCAAGACGGTTGCGAGTGCTGTGAGCAAATGCATAATTTGTTTTCGGGCCAAGCCACATGTTGCTGGCCACATTATGGCTGATCTTCCGAAGGACCACGTCAGCGCATCTTACGCCTTCCAGGTGACTGGAGTGGATTTTTGCGGCCCTTTCTATCACAAGTCGGAAGTTCGGAATAAGGCACCCATCAAGTGCTACGTCTCCATTTTTATCTGCTTTTCCACAAAGGCTGTGCACCTCGAGCTGGTCCAGGATCTCTCCACTTCAGCGTTTCTTAGCGCATTGAGGCGCTTTATACTGATTCGTGGCAAGCCTGCTCGCATATGGTCGGACAATGCGACTAATTTTGTTGGCGCTAAGAACGAGTTGGCTGAGCTAAAGCGATTGTTCCTGAATGCCAGCCACCAAACCGCAATAGATGAATTCTGCTTGACTGACAGCATCAGATGGCGATTTATTCCTCCTCGCTCTCCCCACTTTGGAGGTCTACTTCTACCGATCTGTTGGACCTGCAGTACTGCCCGCTGATGACCTGCGCACTCTCGTTTGCCACATCGCGGCAATCATTAATTCTCGTCCTTTAGTCTCACTTTCAGAACACCCTGGCGATCTTGATGTGTTGACACCGGCGCATTTCTTGGGTACTGCTCCTCTGGCTTTGTTTCCTGAGCCTGACTACACTAACTTGAACTTCAATCGGTTGGATCGGTGGCAGAAAATTTCGTTCTACCAGCAACTGTTCTGGTCCCGCTGGAAAAAGGAGTACCTGACGCTCCTTCAACAGCGCTCCAAGTGGCGCACACAGAAGACGGATATTCAACTCGGTGATGTCGTTCTGGTTAAGGACGAAAACCTGCCCTCCCTCAAGTGGCCACTAGCTCGAGTGGTCAACCTCGTCGCTGGATCCGACAATGTGGCTCGAGTCGCTGTACTGAAGACCGCCACTGGCCTCATCAATAGCTCAGTTGCTAAGCTGTGTGTGCTGCCGAAGCAGGATGAAGTTGAAAGGCCGTGTCTTCCAACGGGGGGAGAATGTCTGGTTATGCAGCCCGCACCTGATGACCCAGCGGCCAAACGACAACAATAAATTTGCTCTGCGTAGCAAAGCTTTACTTCTCCTCCTGCCTTCTGCATAACATAAACTTTATCACTCTCTCGCTCTATTCGCATAGCTGCCCTTGGCCGTCCGCTAACTGCAGCAAAAATTCTTTTCTCAGTTCGTCTTCGTTTGTCTTCGCCTATGCTTGATAGCGATCAACTCAAATATTTGCCTATAACTATTCTCGGACCAATTCGGGTCATAAATATCCGCAGCGGCAATTCGGCTCGCCTGCGCTGATAAATAATAGAAACTTCGTGGCTTAATAAATATTGCATTTAATTTATAACGTTTAAAACAAGTGCGTATTTTTGGGTCAAAAGAAATTGGACAATTCGACAGCTATTGAAAAAGCTCAGTAGCTCAACACAGTTATTGTTTTCATAATGAGTGCTTTCATTTTGTACAAGGCCTACGTTTTTCATAATAAATGCATTTCAAAAAGGGCCATAAATAAAAGCCAGGCTAACGACCTGCACAAAATTTAAAAAAGAAAGCACAAACAATTATTGAAAATAAAATTAGAATTGTTATTATGTATATCTTTGCAGAGATGCATTAAGAACAAAAATAAAAATTACTTATCCTATATCCTTGAAAAGATAATGAAAATAAAATAAATAAATAAATAAAACAACTTAAAAAAAACATTTAATAACAAAAAAGTAAGCTAACTTCGGCACGCCGAAGTTTGTATACCCTTGGAGATTGGTTTTGATGTTTATATTATAGATTTAAATGATGAAAACACTCACAAAACAGAGTTGCATTACATTTTACCTATACTTATTATGTTTACAGTTTGACAGTTACAGTTTTACATTCCCAGCTTTACATATTTTATACATTTACCGATCGGTTTATATGGCAGCTATATGATATAGTTGCCCGATTTCTATGAAATTTATACCAAAATTCTAGAATAATAAAAAAAGCTTATATCTCAGAGTAGATAAAAATACGTTGAAAAACAACGAAGCTATAATTTTTTTTCCTATTAATTTCCCGACTGTTCCTATGGCAGCTATATCATATAGTCGTCCGATTTTCATAAAATTTTTACCAAAATTCTGAAATAATATAAAATGGCCATATCAAAAATTTTGAAAAACAGCCAAGTTATAATTTTTTTTCTAAAAATTTATCGAACATTTGTATGGCAGCTATACGTCCGATCCGGCCCGTGCCGACATATATAGTAGTGAGAGTATATAGAAGACTATATGCAAAGTTTCATTCAGATAGCTTTGAAACTGAGGGACTAGTTTGCGTAGAAACAGACAGACGGACAGACGGACATGGCTAAATCGACTCGGCTGTTGATGCTGATCAAAAATATATATACTTTATAGGATCGGAAACGTCTCCTTTACTGCGTTGCAAACTTCTGACTGAAATTATAATACCCTGCAAGGGTATAAAAACAATAAGCAAAATGGGTAGTAGCAACGCTGACATTCGGAGTACTGACATGAGTCAGGAAATGCAGGAAAGCACCATTGATAAATTCGAAATTGTATCGCAGATTGCCAAATATATTAAAAACGAGTTCGATGCAAAATTCAAACCCAACTGGCATTGCATTGTCGGCAGTGACTTCGGATCACCTGTGTCCCACGAGCCAGATCATCTCATATACTTCTATTTAGGCCAGTTAGCGATTTTATTGTTTAAGACAGGTTCGTAGAAAAAGCCATTCCATTTATTTAAGTTCGAGAATAAATTCCAACAATGTTCTAAACAAAATTCCATTAAATAATGGAATGGGGTGAGCTTTATAAAGAATTGAATAACATAAAAGCTGATTTTGACAGATCATACAAGTCATTATCAAGGACCCGGCTAGCACAGCAAAATAATGTGATTAAGCATGCCGAAATATTAGTAAACCGCTTTAACGCAGCGCGTATATTAATACATGAAACAGCCGAGAAATTCACATCGGACATAGATAACTTACGAAAGCTCCTTGAAGCTTCGTATATTGATGAAGGACTTTCGTCCGAACACGCTGACAAATTCAGCACAAAGGAAGCCATCACCACAATAGTTAAAAATGGTGAGCATGGCCGACTTAAAACAATATTGGAAGCAGGCAGCTTCACAAACATGAATGAAGCCGTCACTAAGTACATACAATGTAGTACAAAAATGACGGGTAATGCCAATTCAATATTGTACGCCCACAGAGGTAACAACTATCGCGGTAACAACTACAGAAACAGTTATCGCGGTAGGAGTAATAGCCGAGGTTTTTTTTTTTTACCATTCTTCCTTCAAAGTGAACGGACGTGTTTTTTTCTTGCGCTCCCGATTTGTGTAGAATTTGTCTAAAAACCTCCGGGGTTTACTAACATTTAATATTTGGTGTTTCAAATAATTCCCGTTCACTTCGCGTGTGCATGCTACTTGTTTATTTTGTGCTATTTAATTCAATTTAAATTGCATTTTAGTTTGGGCTGCTGCGGTTTCTTTGCATTTTGCTCTTTTTGCATTCCCTTTTGTGCATTTAGCGTTTGTTGTTGTTTGCGTTGCCGCGACAGCTATAAACGGTTCTACTCAGTGCTTATCTCTCGCTCTCCTGCTCTTTGCCCCCCCGCTCATCAAGTGCCGCTGCATTTAATCCCTTGCGCCCTCTCTTAAATAGTTGAAGTACAGTGGTAAGTCCTTATAATGTCCCATAATATGGTCTGCTTCGCCAAAAATTGTAAGAAAAATATTACTTACGGTGAACTCACCATCACCTGTTGGCTGTGTGACAACATAGTACATGCCAAGTGCATTGGCGTTGTTGCACGGACAGTCGATGACGTGGCCAAAAATATCGGCGTACGTTACTGCTGCGAGGCCTGCCGCGAGGTGGAGAGGGAAATGATGTCTTTTATGCGGCAAACCAGGGGTGGTTTTAAAGAGCTATTATTGAGCTTTCGCAAAACTCAAGATATGCTCTTGGCGCTGGATACTCAATTTAATAGCCTCAAGCTGTTAAATGAGTCTCCTAGGCGCAACTGGTGGGCAGCATATTGGCGGATGCCAGCCACCAGTGATAGGCACTGCACAGCAGCCTCCCTCGACTCTGCCCCCGACCCCGGGACAAATTCCAAGAATCCTGAGATCGAGCGCTAAAAAAGATTCGGTAGCGTCGCGGGTGCGACCGTGCCCCCGGTGTTGCCCAGTTCCGTTTTGTCCACTGGGGGTCCCAACTGTTGTCTCAGCCCTCTCAGAGCCCTAATCCCATTCCCTGCCAGGGTATCAGGCCCGGACTACCGGCCGAAAGTGGTATGGTGGGTCAGTCTGCCGTGCCAAAACCCCTTACGGCAATTCCACCAACAAAACAGTTATTTGTTTCGCGGCTTTCCCCTGATCAGACATCGGAAGATGTCATAGCTTTTATCCAAGGCAAAGTAAAAGTCAATAGAGAAAAAATTAAGGTGGAAAAATTTAAATTTTCTTACCCTAGGAACATTTCGTCTTTCAAGATAAATGTTCCTGACGAAGTCTTTGGCACTCTATGCTCTGCCCAAACCTGGCCACAGTATGTGGTTGTCAAAGAGTTTGAAGGTACGAAAAAGAAAAAGCGGCCTGTAGGAATTACTCTTTCTAGGCCAGATTTGCCCAATGCTCCGTCTACGTCTTTCAATTCCGTCACAAAAAACTAACCAGTTCCCTTGGTATTTCCTGTCAGAATGCAAGAGGCTTACGCAGTAAGCTTCCTAAATTGTATTTCGACAGCGTCGCATTTGCTTCCCAAGTTATTGTGTTCACAGAAACCTGGTTAAAGCCGGAGATTCTGAGCTCCGAAGTTTTTCCAGCTGCGTTCACAGTATACCGGCTAGATCGGCCTATCAGACGTGGGGGAGGTGTCCTTATAGCGGTCGACTCCACTCTCACGTCCGAGTTAATAATTTTCGAGGAATCCAACAATGTTGAATTCCTTTGCGTGAAGCTATCAGTTAATGGTAGTTCCATTTTTGTTACATGTTCCAACATTCCTCCATTGTCGGAACTTCCTATTTATTGGAACCATCTTTCCGCCATTCAGTTGGTCTCCAAAAGACTTTCGGATAGGGACCATTTAGTAGTTCTTGGTGATTTTAACATCCCAGGGGCTATTTGGTCCCTAGATAATTCCACTAACACACTTCTTACGACAACACATCATGATTTTATTGCTGGCTTGTTTGATATTTCGCTGTCCCAAGTCAATCATGTTCGAAATTCCTTAGAGCGCTTGCGTGATCTTTGTTTTGTCTCAGATCCGGAAAGAGTTAGTTTAGCTAGGTTGGCGCCCCTGACGCAACCCGAAGATCCCTATCATCCCACTTTCGATGTGACTATCGACATGGGGACTGTTTCACGGAATAAATCTCACAGTCCAGCCCAAGAAGTCTTCTGCTTTAGCAAGACGGATTTCGTACGGCTGAATAATTTCAAAATTAATTACAACTGGTCCGATCTATACACATAGTCAAGTACGACCTCAACCGTTACTCCAGTGATTGCCCGAATTGGATGCTAATTTAATATGTATATGCCTACCTGCAAATATTTCGGTACTTTTCTACTTCTCTTTACTATTCTTCTTTGATAAGAAAACGCGTGATTTATTTTATGTATTCTTTCGACACATTTTTCACTACCGATCGAACTAGCAAAGCGTTCGCTTCGTCTTAAACGGCTCCGGAATTGTAAAATTTATAAACTGACATAAATAAAGCCTTATTAAATATATTATAAATAAATACAAATTAAAATACATAATTGGCGCAGTCGGCAAAAGTGATAAAAACTAATCGTCCATTGACTATTAAATGTTTTGGGAAGAGCATATAAAGCTGTTTTTCCTATAAAACATGCAAAGTGCGGTTAAATTGGCCAGTAATATTAAAGTCTTACCGAGCCTCCTTATAAGCCCCACATATTTTTGCAAAACCACAATTGCACATTAATACACCAAGCCAGCCACCATCGAATCGGAAAAATCTGTA